TCTAAAGATGTAAGATTTTTGTAGGACATTGAGAGTAGTCCTCATGAGAACAAGTAATTTCGATTAGAATGCGCTATTTAAACATGTGAATTTTCTTTATCGATATGTATTAGAGTTATTTTGATTGTCCGATTTTTCAAATCATGATTTATACCTTCGTTATGAGTTTGAAGTGATCTTTTGGAATTGTATAAACTACTCCACGAGTAATTTATTGTCTTAAGGTCCACGGAAGTGGGAAAGCAATGCACGAGAAGAGACGACTCCTTATTGACATGCGACATAAACTTTCGGATGCTGAACGAATGCGGCTTCGGATGCGTGTGGAGGCGCAAAACCAAACCACGAGAGTTAGATTTTCTGATGTTTATTTATATTGTTTATCGTTGCTACAGTCAATATTGTAATTGATCTAAAGATGTAAGATTTTTGTAGGACATTGAGAGTAGTCCTCATGAGAACAAGTAATTTCGATTAGAATGCGCTATTTAAACATGTGAATTTTCAAATTCGGAGAGAATTTCAATATGTCCGCTCTAAAAACTGAATTTACTGAAACGATTTGAGCGTTGAAGTTTGTTTTTTCTTTTTCAGGGTGCTGATCGCGTTGTAATGATTGCGTTCACGTTGAACTTATGTGATACTATTGGTAAATTTACTGCTGCGTATTTGACAGGTTTACCTTTTATTCTATACGTTGCATTTATTTATTTGCTGTTCATTATCTAATCTCCTGAATAATTTTTGAATCGAAGATCCTCATCGATGTGCTTCATAGGAATATCTGTGTTTCTTAGAGTCTTTCTGCTGATTAGCCTCTTCTCATAGGGATCTGGTTTTGAAGCCATAACTTTTGGCATTATACTTTTTCTTTTTTCCACTTTCGAGTCGTGGTTCTCCTCCTTTTCCTTTTTTTAACCAACAAATCTCTTCAATTCTCTCGGTGGACTTCACAATGGTCATTGTTGTACCTTCCGATAAGAATGCAGTAATTTGCACTACAAATGTTATCTTGTTTGAAACATATGTGATCTGCATTTGTTATCATCTTAAAAAAATATTCGGTTGATTCATCTGAAAACATCGAGTTTGATTTTAGGTTCGAAAAGTTTATTCGCCGAAGCAATCCACAGCGCTATGGATACAATGAATCAGTTGATTCTACTAACGGGTATACGTTTCTCGCAACGTAATCCTGATCGAAATTTTCCATACGGGTACGGTAATGTTCGGTACGTGTCTTCTTTGATCACCGGTTGTGGTATACTGTCGTTTGGATGTGGTCTTTCGATGTATCATGGCATTAGCGGGTTACTTCACGGTGGAACACTGGAACCACTCACCTATGTTAGTTGGTTCCTTCGTTTGTCATTGTCCATATTTATTTATGTTGTTCCTATACTTGAGATAATTGTCTTTGTTACTTTATCAGTTCGACTCTGAAATATTTAATAGTTTTATACATTTTAGTCATGAAATACAAGAACATAATATTTGCAGGCATATTACGCTTTATTTATGTCATTACTATTCCAAGGGTCATCCGTCATAACCGCTTTCCGAGAAGCACGGCGAAAAGCTGCGGCTGCTAGAATATCACTTATCAATTATGGTT